GTATAACACAACACAACCAAGAAGCAGTTTCATGCAGGGTTCATATTATGAGAATTGTCTCACAGGCTTACTGTCATTCCTATCCTCACAATCTCAAGGATAAACCACTATAGCGTGATCTCCGTGGGGCTGTCCTTGATAACTTTTTGGAAGCTTCGGTTGCATGTAGCCTGCCTCCTGGTGGGATCTGTCAAGGGAATACATTATACCAGGCCTATCACAGTTTTCTGTTTTTCCACTAACGCAATTCAAGATGCAAGTTTTGAACAATAAACTCTCAACATCTTGAGTCCAACATATTTAAGTGGTTGCTCCTTCTTTACGTATCATTGCAATTCTCAAGTTGATTCAATATGCCCTTTCAACAGTATTCTCAGTAGTTCAAGTTTGGTTGCCATGGACACATAAGAGGTTTCTTAGTGAAGGCCTCGCAACTCTGGAACTGCCTTTGCTTTAAGATTGGCAGGACTAGTGACGGCATCATCTGTACTTGAAGAACAAGTTGCTACCATTGAAGAATCAGGCCAGTGACATATGTATGGCCAGATGATACCCATTTGGTTCACTGTTCACCTGATCTCTGCTAAAGTGTTAGATGCAGTACCATGATCTGACTTTCATTATTGGTGGCATGGCAATGAAACAGAGCTTGGGTCAGTAATTCCCTCTAACTGCAAGGTGACAGGTTCCACCGCCAAAGTCCTTGTTGATTTAAACAGATTTGTTACAAGCTATAGAGGATGGTGAAAACCAAGAGAGATTGTGAAGAGCTATAGGAGTATCTCTCTAAATTAGGTGAGTGTGTAAGAATGTGGCAAATGAAGTTCATTGTGGGCAAGTGTAAGGTGATGCATTTTTGTTGTTGTTCAGTCGCACAGTTGAGTCCGACTCTTCACGACCCCATGGACCAGATCACGCCAGGCCTTCCTGTCTTCCGCCGTCCTCTGAAGTTTGCTCAAGGTGATGCATACTGAAACAAAAAGTCCTGATTTTAATTATATTCTGATAGGTTCTGAACTGGCTGAAACGGAGACTGAATAAGATCTTGGGTTTGAAAGGAGATCTTGGGGCTGATGAAGATGTCGACCCAAAGTGCAGCAGCAGTGAAAATG